TAGTTATGCATGTATTTAGATTTTACTATACATATTTAGTATATTTAGGAAAATCTAATCTTTTAAAATTAGAATAAATAGATAAATAAAAATCGGTTTGAGATTTAAACCGAAGAGTCGATTAGCCTTGGGTAAGGCAATAATTACTCTTGGAGTAAGCGGATTGCGACCCGCTGACTCATACTTGGTTCTTGTAAGGAACGAAAGGTCAGTGACCTAAAGTATGCTTCCCCAAGCGTTTTGCTACGGCAGTCCCGCTGCAGATGCTCTGCATTTGAACCACGTCTGATTGTCCTTGATATGTAGAGTCGCGAACGCTTGCCTTCCGTAAGAAGCGCATCGAATCGATTATCTTGAAGTATTGAAAATAGATGATTTAAACTTCATCAAATTAATTGAGGGACTGCTGGAAGTAAGACCTAATAGAATCATCTTTCAGCGCGATCTTACGTTAACTTTGGTTCTCTCGTAAGTGACCGACTTCTCTACTTGAAGATGCCCGGGCGTAGACATAAATCCATTGAGTGGTTCTGAAGTGGATCAATTCATCCAGCCCCAAAGCTCATAGAACGCCTCAACAGCTTCGTACTATGTTGGGATACGTCGTATCGTATCCAGAACTTAAGCAATTACTCGGACGGCTCCCATAACCACGATGACTTGGGTTGGTCCATCAACCTAAAGAAAAATTAGCGATACCCACGGGAGATCCATTCACTAATCAAAAATTAACCGTTTAAGTAGAGCCTAGCACTATGATTCAGGAGAGCCTTTTGCGGTCTGTCCTCTGCTGTATCATATTCGCTCATCTTGCTGCAGAACCGAACACCATCAACGGGTGGGTACAGCGACGCTGTTTGTCGATTGTGTCTTTTGACAGCATGGACTCCCGGGGTCAATTGTATCTGAAGAGACCAGCGCATCACTGGGGAGTTTTGGTCGACACTCTTCAGGGTGCTGGGCACCTAGTTGACTCTATCAACAGCGGACCATCTGCTACCAACGTTCAGACTGAGCGCGTGAATCGCGTCGTTTATGACGTTCTTTGCAGCGCCGGAGCGCTATGTTGCCACTAGTAGAGTTTGCTTTGAACAATGCAGTGCATTCATCTACCGGCTACAACCCGTTCTACGTGAGAAGGTTAATCAATTCTTGCGTCCCGCTGACGCCTCCATCCAATGGCTGAAGGCTTGGTGGGGGAGGAATAGCCGAACGGCTAGCTGATTTCAGCTCCCTCACCGTGCATAAAGAAGTCAGAGACTTCCTGTCCACTATACTGACTGTCTTACGACACGTTCTCGATGCGATGGTTGAAAGCCAAGACATGTAGAAGGAATAAGCTGAAAGAAAAAGGAGAAGAGACCTTAAAAACATTGAGACCAGAGACTTGATTTTATGTGTTGCTAAAAACCTTCATACTCATGCGGTTTCTGCTGTTTTTAAACAAAGCTCCATCCACAAATTAGTGAACCGTCTAAGATCGTGGCCAAGCGAGGCCTAGCGTATACACTGAACTTCTGAGAAGGATGTGCACCCACCTGGTGTTTTATGGGGCTTGCTTAAGCCCGACCGATATCCGGCGCAAGTGAACCCGGAAGCCTTGGCACCGGGGCGGTGCCCAAAGACACTCGGCCACCCAGAAGTTGAGCCAGCTACAGGTTTTGAGCACGGAGTGTAATAAATTCTATTTCAACGGCGCAAGACGCTCCACCGTCGCACGAAGTGACGTATTCGCCTGCTCGACGCCAAGGAGCCGCTCCGGCAGAGCACGATAATCCTCAGCGCGAGGCCGTCGGTGCACAAAGCGCTCCAGGCTCTCGAGGTCTTCCGCACAGCGGTAGACGACCTCGGAAAGATGTTTGGCAGGATGCCGATGATGAAAACTTTGTTCTCTAACTCTCGAAGAGCATCAAGAGTCATCGGACGGCGATCGACCAAGTCGTCATCGTCCGCCGCCGAATCTTCTTGATTAGAATGGTGTTGTCCACTACCACTCGGAACGCCTTCTGGGTCGACGTCGTTGAAGGGGTTAAACCCAATATCTTCCAAACTCCAAGAATTCGTGGGAGTTTACGCACCTGCTTAAACCATGAGGGGGCAGGAGAACACGATCACAAACATTACACTCGAAATGATTCGAGCGTCCACTCAAATCTGCATTACGATCTACCGTATCCGCATTTAATCTCGAACAAAGCAAAATATATATCGATATTTTTCGCTAAAGTCGAGTGATCTCTACCGTCTTCGCAATAGCTTTTGCTAAGTTTAGATGGGCTTTGCTAAATACCTTGTATTTGTTGGGGGAAAGAAAATAATAAATCAATCGTGTTCGCTCTCATAAGCACCCATACATCACGTGGAGCTTGTAAGCGCTTCAACGGGGCTTGAGATGTCGGATCTGCCTGACTCGCTGACAGACCCAACAAATTTGAAGATGCTTCCGTGCCACTTCGACCGTTGAGGTCACTAGTTTTGACGGGATAGTGGAAGAAGTTTCAGTTCGCGGCCGAAGTTTCTACTAATTGGGGCATCGTGATGCTCATGAATTGGTCAAAATTGAAGGTCATCATTGTTGGAATGGATACGTGAAATATCGAGAGAAATTTGTTAGATAGGTACTTTTGACGGATGATTAGGATAATCCTAATTATAAATGATTCAGAATATTACATCTCCATAACGCAATTTACCAACACGAATAGGCTTAAAGTTTTCGAATACAATATCGCTGAGTAGCATCTGGTGCAAAGGAGGATCTCCAAGCACCCACATAGCAGACATGAGGAATAGCCAACGATACTATCGCCGACCTCTATCTACACAACCACATACCAACGATTGGCTGAAAGTCTATGTCACGCCTTCAATTTCGCTTTCATTCCCCTCATTCTCCTTCCGATTCTGGTGAAACTCTTCTGTTTGATCGTTGGAGAGGAGGGAAGCGCAATCTCCGTGGAAGTTGACGAAGCTAAAACTGTGTATGACTTGAAGAAATGGATAAAGGCGGAGAAACCAAACGAATTTAAAGAGGTCCACTCCAACAAGCTGCTTCTCTTCCTGGCGAAGGCGGAGGGCAATGCGTGGCTATCGAGCGTCACTGAAGATGCAAAGAAGCTGAAAAGGGGGAGAAACCCCATTCATCGCAGCGCTCACGCACGAAGACAAGGAGATGCAGGGAGAGGATTTCTGATAACCTTAAAGGCATGCCCGCTTCGAAAGTACTACAGATTGATAAGCTAGTTGAGGTTCCAGAGAGTGCGATTGGTTCGGCGAGCGAAATTTTTACAATAGCGTAAATGTCAGCAATGATAAATGACCTACAAAGCAAACAAGCGACACTAGGAAAACGTAAACGATACGTGCACTCGGAGGTAGAGCAAGCAGCTTTTGAGCGACTTGGACGTTTTGGTTGAACCTGTGCGCAGATTTCGACGTGCTACTGGACAGTGGTCTTCGGTTGGTCCTTACAAGTTAAAAAGAGTTATTGTTGAAAACGGCGAAGAGGTCGTGCTCAGTGAGGAGCAGCTGCGTAAACGATATCGCAAGTATGTCGAGGACAACATTGGCGCTGTGCTCAAGGAGAAGCAGCTTTGCGTGATTGGCGTTGAATAAGGCACAAACATACTTTCTGGACGATCGTCAAAGCAATTATCAAGAAACCAGGCGAAGCTATCAGGACGCTGGCACAGCCAATCCCTGCTGGCACCGAGTTCAAGCTTTCATGTATTCAAGATCCCTTGAAGCGGCCTATCGGAGAGGATGACGGGAATAGTGGGGTCCATGAGAGCATTGAACGATACTATGATAACGCCATTTTTCAGGTCCCGACTTGGACATGGCACGTGCTAATGCTAGACAAGTCACTCAATCTATTCCCATATTTAGTTATTTCATCTGCGTCAAGCTACCGTAATGATTTCTTAGCTTGATAAATATAAAGTTAATCTTACATAGTGGTGGCGTACTCTCCAGAGCTTACTAGGAGCGCATAAATGCAGCGGAGAAGCGCACTATCAGCGAAAACGTGAAGCACAATTATTCTATCCGATGAGTTACGACAATAGCTACAGCTCCTTAAACTCCACCAACAGTGAAATACGATGCCACCAAAAGGCTCATAAGAAGCCTGTTACGTATACACTATCAAAAGGGTCCAAACTTGCTACATAAATGAAGGCCACAGTCTCGGGAATGATAAGCAGCATGGCAGCCACGCCACAAAGTATCTTACACTGAAAAACGACGAGATGCGGTAAGCGTTGAATCCTCAATCTCAGAATGTGATAGAAAAATTGTATCATCACGAGTACATGGCGGGGTATGTGCATGTCGACGCATGGTTCGCGCAGGTCGACGGACGCCATAACCGATACTTTCGTCTTGATGTCCAATGTTCGCAAAGTCTCAAATTTCAAGTGCCTTGGCAAAGCGTACTGTGTCGTATGTGGAAAATGCGACTAGGAACGCAGGAGGCTACGCCATGCTCAACGTCACAATCGCTGCTTGTGATATATTGGAGTTCGGTGGAGTAGACCGTCAACATTGATGTCATTACACTATTGTACTGTTTCGTACCAATCTTCCAAGTCCGCGTAAGGAACTCGGAATTTTAATGCAAAAATAGCTAGTAGGGTCCTTTCATGCGGAAGTGCTTTCAGGCTGGTCTCCTTTCCAGTGAAGAATGCAACAAGTTTGCACCGTTGTAGATATATCGTTTCTTCTAGTCACTGTAGCATACAAACCACATTTGATTCGTTATGGTGTCTTATACACCATTGTCTCCATCTCGAACTTCTGGCTATATGATGTCGCAACGCTTCCGCGGTTAGCGAGAGTACTATACTAAAGAAAGTGCTGGTGGTCTTTATGTTTACATAAATGAGGACAGTTTTACCGCGAGTCGAGGCTATTAATCCTACAATTTCTGAATCATTTGACTTTAGGCTTGCATGTACGCTTTGATGGACCGGATTTTGACATTGCGATCTCCCAGTTTTGAAACTACGAATTTATCTTTACGATCTGTAAGTCACATCAAGAGTGCACAGCACTAAACTCAAGAAAAAGGATCAACTTGCAAGTTCAAATCTGATTGATTTATGCTGCAATTGTTATGTGCGCAGGTACCACAGGCTTATAGCATAAAAGTGTTGAAGGGACTAGGTACGGAGTAGCTCAGTTTTAAAGATTGGGTCAGAACAACGAATTGTTGTAGTACGGTCTGACAGCAAGAAGACCAAACCGAAATTGAAAAAAGTAATCAAGTCCATACTAGACACTCCTTCAAACGTATTCTCTTGTAAAGTCTGACCATAATATCGGTCGATTGAATAGTAGAAAGCAATGCTTGATATGTACAACTTCTCTTCATAAAGTAACCAACTTTGAAGAAAAGTCATAGTCATTGCTGCACTTTGCAGCGTTCTTATCATTTTCGCGCAAGCTACTTCCCGTTCATATGGTTAGCAAGCGATTAGAAGCAGAAAAGCCAAGAATCAGATGGACCACCACGCATTGACGCTCTTCAACGACTAGACAGACAATTACAATGGTACCATTGTCTTCTTGTGCTAACTTTTTAACAATTCGTGCCGTCCACAATGCAATTTCTCCAAACATCCTCAAACACTGTAGCCATGAATTGTTTTTCGTCTGAAAACACTGATAAGCGCCGCTTCCCTTTGCGCGCAGTCGAGCGCTTTTGCGTCTCTGAGCCCAACGTCTCGGTTAAATGTTGTCACGCTATTTCCATCAGTGGCGATATGAATCAGTTGCTGCAATTTCTTCCGACGGCAGTCATGCGTACATTTAATCGTCACCCGCGACTACGCGCGCTGATCGTTGACGACCAGAAATTTATTGCTGAAGTACAACCTCAAATTACACTGCGCGATGTTGAAACCAAGAAGTTATTTCGCGTTCGTGAGATATCCGACTCAAATGTTGACATTGCTGACTGGAAGAACTGGAACCATTTCGTACAATCGGAAACTGCCATTCCATTTGACCGATTTACCAACTTCATGTTTTATCTCACTGTGTGGGTGAACTGGAAGGAAAGCAAAGCTCGTTTCTTCCTTTTCTCGGATCACATCATGTCAGACGGTGATTCAGGCCAAGTTTTTGTTAACGATTGTCTTGAAGATGTAGCATTATTGTCGATTGAGGCAATTAAGCCTGTAGTCGAGCTTCCATTACGTCCGTCACTCTACGAAATGTGGATGATGGGGGGTCCGTGGTGGCTGAAACCTTTGGCTAAGACCATGTTGACGCTTGTGGGCGGCTCGTCTTTTGTAAACTTCATGAAAGGTTTCAAGCCCCTATTGACCCCACGTGATGATCAAAATGACTTTTGTCTTCCTTTTAAGGAGAATACCACGGTACTTTTGAGCCAAGCTGGAACCCCCACCAATATGCGTGATACATTGCGTAAGTGCAAGGAAGAAAATGTTACGATGGGTGGTGCACTGATCCCGGCGATTGTGCTCGCTTACTACCACGCTAGCAAAGTTGACTGTGAACTCAATGGAGTAGAAAAAACGGATAGTATTTTTCGGCTTGTTGCTGATGTATGCTATAATATGCGACAGAGAATATCGCAGCCCGTGTCAGAAAGGCAAGTTGGATTATACGTGACCAATTCTCCTCTGCAATGGCTCATCACAGAAGGTGTGAATTTAAAAACGGTGAAGTTCTGGGATTTGGCTCGTACTTCCAAAGCGGAAATGACGAATCAATGTACTAAATTGCTTGAGATGTCAATGCCGTGCTTTCTTTTGGATCGGAAGCTTATCAAACCCAAAGTTGGAAAACTTTTGGGTGACTTTAAAATCCCTAGCTCTTGTACTGGAGACGCGACTATCTCAAACCTTGGAGGGTACCTTTACAAGCACAAGCATATTTTAGCTTGCAATGGTGTACTCGAAGTGGAAGACATGTTTGCCTTTTGTGCAATTCCATATGTGGCTACCTCGACAACAATTTGGCTCACGTCTGTGAATGCTTTTAACTACTCGTTGGCTCATAAAGTTGATAAACGAGTTGGTAATGCATTGTTTCATGCCTATGTCAACATTTGTGAGGCTCTTAGTAACATTGAAAAGGATGCTACGATGGAGGACGTGCTTAAGCTTTTCGGTCTTAATCTCTAGAAGACAACTATCTTGTAGTGTAGAACTATAATATACTGAATAGTCTTTAAATATAACCATTTAGGTTAACCTAACAACATTATTGGTTCATTAAGTGGTACATCGTGAGCTTTACACTAAAAAAGCAAGTCTTTCTTGGTTTGACAATCGATCAAAAGAAAATCATTTGACGCAAAGTGTAAAGCTAGCTGCGCACGAAAATCTCGGACCTCTTCCAATATCCATACATATCAGTACCGAACACGAATCATCATACTTCATTATCATACCATCATATCGTCCGTTTTCATTTTCTTTAGGTTTGAGCGACAGTGAAGTGAGTAGGCAGCGATGAAAAAAAATATTCGTCGCTCAGCTGGCTTATGTTGAAATTGTGTTTAAACGTTTGAACAAGATTTATCTGTTTGAATCATATGGAGAACAAAATGCTGCTGACTCCTTAGATTTTGCAGCGGAGCTGACCTTACGTTATTTGAAAGAACCAGTACAAGTGTAGCGGGTCGCAATCCGCTATATTTAAGTACTAAAGCCTTACCAAGGACAACCAACACTTCTTTCAAGAAACAAAACTTTATGAATTGTTTTAGTTGCAGCAGAGCCGAAATATCGAAAACCCTAGGCTTTTCTGATTCATATAGTAATACCAAATTGAAAATAGCAAAACCTAATTAATATAGTAATATGCACTACTACTAGCAATCCTGCCACGTGGTGGCTTTTTGTAACGGTGTAGCCACACCATTGTGTGATAACACCGACATGTGTTATCAACACCTTTGCACGGTCACACCATCTTGTGTGACTCGCCCTTTCATGCAAGGGTATGTGTAAACCCCGTAACACTCTCCCCCATCAAAGTTGTAAATACCCACAATTCACATTTAACTGTCACCTCATTGGAGGCTTGCGTTTCTGAGACAACTGAACGTTCTTTAAAAAACAACTTCAAACCTTCTCCGCTCTATGAGCCCTGTGTCTACGACACGCAAAACACCCAGCCTAGCTGGTAGCGAGGGCGTCCGCGAGTGCATCTCCGAACAGTACATCCCTCCTGTCACAGCATCACAGCATGGGATGACGAGGAAGATGATGTGCATCAACGGCGCGACGCTAGCTCAGCTCAAACCCTGCAGATACCATGTATGTTCCCCGACTCTCGACTTCCGGGATAAGTGGTATTATAACCAATTGCCTCGACGAGGCAAAGGAGAAGCAATTGGAGACTGCTCACTAGGCGGCTCTCCTGCGTTCATGATTACGTTCCGTCTAAGAAACTCGTGTGGAATACGACTTCCGCTCGGCGGATCCCGCTACTGAAGCGAAAAACGCGATCTTTAGGCGTCTACGTAGTCGGGCCTCCGGCAGCTGAGCTTGATAAGCGGAAAGCTCTGCGAGCTCGCCATTAGGTACCCCGAGGGATCCGAAAGGATCGGTGCCGCGCTCGATATCGAGCACAAAAAGGAGATGCTTCTGTACCCGCATTGCGAACCATCCCTGTACTTGCGAAACCGCTGCGGATGATGATGTGATCTCTGAGCGATGGTTGCAGCGGCAACCGAAACTGTCTACCTTACAGCGAAAGCACAAGGAAGTGGACGCGCGCGTTGAGCGCCATGTTAGACTTGAGTTTGCCGAACTCGGGGCGCGACGCCGATTTCCTGCGTATTGTTGCTCTGCGACAAAAAGAAGAATCCATAATGCCCCTGTGAGCTCTGTGGTCTCCACACGAGTGAGTCAGCGACCACAACAGCTCAGGGCTACAGTATGAGCTCAGCTCATGGCCCTCCGGCTTCCGCGGCTACTGCCAAGAAGCGCGGTGCGCATGATGACGCGAAGCATCATGATTCTTATGATCAAAAGCGTCTACGACGTCTGGACAGTCTTCCCAAAGAGGCGCCTCAAACTCTCACACGCTCTCGGAGTTCGCCATTTAACAAGATATTGGATTAAACCCCGTCGACGACGTCGACCTACAAGGCATTCGACGTGGTAGAGGACGCCACCACTCTTATCAAGAGGAGTCGGCGGTGGACATCGACGACTTAATCGATAGCCGTCCGGTGACTTGCGATGCTTTTCGAGCGTTAGAGGACAAAGTCCGTCGTCATCAGCATTCTGCCAAGCATCAGTCAAAGCTCGTCTACCGCTGTGCAGAAGACCTCGAGAGCCTAGAGCACTTTGTGCACCGACTGCCTCGCGGATTATCGAGCTCTGCCGGAGCGGCTCCAAGCCGCCGAGCAGTCGAATACGTCACTTCGTGCGACGGTGGGGCGCCTGGTGCCGTTGGAAACGGAAATCGATTCACCTCGAGCTCAAACTCAGTTGCTGGTTCGGCTTCTAGGTGGCCGAGCGCCCATGAGCGCCGCCCTGGCGCCAACGACTCCGCTTTTACATGTGCCGGATCCCGGTACGGTTTTAGCAATCCCACATAAAATACCGGGTGGGTGCGCATCGTTCTCGGAGGATCAGCGTATACGCAAGGCCTTGCTTGGCCACGACCCAAAAAGGTTTAATAAACAGTTGACGGAGCTTTGTCTTAAAGACAGCAGAAACCGCACGTGTAGGAAGGTTTAGCAACTAGTAAAAAAGTCTCTGACCTCAATGTTTTCAGCAATTTTTTTTTCTTTTCCGTCTGCATATTCCTTCTGCATGTCTTGGTTTCAGCCATCGCATCGCAAACATGTCGTAAGACACTCAGTCTGGAAGATAGAAAGTCACCGGCTTCTTTACGGACACTGAGGGGGCTGATATCAGCTACCCGCTCGGCTATCCCTCCCCACTAAGCCCTGAGCCATGTAATGGCGGCGTCAGTCGGACGCGAGGATTTATAAGCCCGTTTACGTAGAACGGCGTGTAGCCGGTAGATGAATGCACTGCATTCCAAAGCAAACCCTACGAGTCGCAACATAGCGTTCCAGCCTTTTAGCATCTCAGCGCAGACGCTGCAAAGAACGTCTTCGACGGCGCAATCCTCGCGCTAGGTATGACAATCGGTCTGCGGATAGTCCGCTGTTGATATAGTCAACTAGGTGCCCAGCGCCCTGAAGAGTGTTGACCAAACTATCCAGCGAAGCGTGGGTGTCCGTCAGAGACAATTGACTCCAGGAGTCCGTGTTGTCGAAAGACACGATCGACAAACAGCGTCGCTTTACCGACACCGTCGATGGTGTCAGGCATCGCCGGAAGATGAATCATCTTGCTCAAACCCTCGACAAAGACCACGACACCCGTGTTGCCCGCCGAGTCCTTCGGCAGGCCAAACACAAAGTATCGTGGACCGCCAACACCCGGAGGGTACCGACAAACTGGCCAGCGGTGCTCCCGCATTCGGAGAGGGTTTCACCTTTTGATACGTCGCACACATACGCACATAAGTGCTCGTTAATTTGTACAGCTAGGGCTGCCAGTATTGACAATTGACAGAGATTTATGTCTTCTCACGACCGAGATGACCACTGCGTGGGGTGTTGTGGAGGATACGGTACTTTAAATCCCCATCATGAGAACCATAATTTGTGGTGTGTCTGTCGAGTCGGGGCTCTAATACAGCAGCCCGTTATTTAACGAATATCGGTTCAGCCGTGCACGCAGTCGCGATGGCAACTCCGTGTCCGAATTTCCAAACTCCTTGCCCCCGAGAGTCTGTAGCAGCTACACACATACCATCACCCGCATATGCGGCGCGGATCAAATCCGTCACTGACGACGTCACCGTCGTGACATGAGCAAGCTCATAATAATTGCTTGCGTGACAAGCAACAGCCAAGGCATTCTGCTTTCTTGACTTATAATTTTTCTCGCAGTTATATTCTGCAAAGAAGGAGAGCCACCAGGCCATCCTCTGCGAGAGGTGAGGCGACTGAGTCGTAGTGCGTAGTGACGCATAAACTT